ACAAAGGTAGACATTTACTTCTTTATACACCAAAAATTATATAAACATACAAACCTAACCATTCCAGGACTAGAAACAGAGTTACCATTCAAGAAGATTCAGTCCCCGATATCGATGAAGACAACTCCGAACCAACATAAAGGTCTCTCTCTCTAAACCCGAATTGACGAAAGAGTTGACGAACTTCACAGCATCTCAAGCACTCAACTTCGTACACAATCTTTATCCCAAACGCAACAAGCAACTGTTTGTCTTGTGTAGCTATGATCACTATACTACCAGGACCAAAACAGTTAAAATCTTCTGCAAGAGCATCTAACTGTTCGAGTTTATCGACATTATTAGCCACAAGTAGAACTTTCTGACTCATGAGCCTTGCTCTGATCAATCCAGAGGTCTTCATCGTCGAGTACTCTCCTTGAATCCTTATCAGAAACTCTTCTTTTAGATTCGACATTTGACAATCGTGAGGAATCCCTTTAACGTTTTCGAGAAAACAATGGCTTTGAAACTGCTTATAGATCTTCTGATAAACGAATCTTGCTAGTGCTGATCTTCCATTGCCTCCTCTTGCCCAGATTCCAATCACTCTCAAACCTTCCTTAGAATTCAAATCCAACAATGGATACAACTCTTTCATGTGTGCATCGATCCCAAATTGGTCCTTGATGATGCCATCACTTGTTGGTGTTGCAGAGAATAACAACATGTTGGATACTCTCTTAGTAATTTCGTTGAGCAGCTTCGAGTCATCTTCCCTGAAACAGAGAATTGAAACTCAACAAAATCTCCTAAAGTTTTGGAATTTCGATAAAATCAAGATATGAAAGTACCAATCACGAGAACAATGGCCAGAGATACTAGCTAAATTGGTCAGTGCTTGCCTCCATGTTACAACAGTCTCATGATTCTCCCTTTCTTCGTGTTTCTTAAACTGTTCAGCGACTTTTTCGATTTGTCTCCTTACATGAGCAGGCTTCACGTTGTAGAAGATAGGCATAACGATGAGCGAACCCTTTTTCTCAACGTCCATGATCGTCTCAAGCTCTTGGAGACACCAAGGAGAAGCAGGATAGTTCTTAGAGACAACCACGAGGGCGATTTTGGAACTCTCGATTGCGACAAGGAGATCTGAAGAAATCCGACGTCCACTCTTCAGTTCGATGTCATCTTTGAAAGTTCGAATATTCATGCGAACGAGTTCTTGGTAGAGAAAACTGATGAAGGTCCTGCGAGTGTCTTTGCCACTGAAACTCAGGAAAACATCGAACTTTTGGGGACTAGTTGAAGAAGACGATGAAGAATACATCGGATTCGAGATAGAGCATTGGTTTTACTTTCGAAGTTTGTAGATGATAAATAATTCTTTTTTTTTGGGGGGATAAATAACTTGAGGTTCGTCGACTTGTTATCAAAGGAGAAGAAAAAAAATACTGAGAAATTTCCAAGAAAATGTTGAAGATTTACCAAGAAAAGGTTTTGCAGGTCATGAAACTAGAGAACGGGTCCAAAGAAGAGACAAAACTCCATTTCGTTAAACCAATATACGCGTGTTATGCTTTGGTTGAGAATGATGTAATGCAAATTCTATTTGCATAAATCTGA